AACTCAGCATGCAGTAAATACAACATAAAGATCAATGTAAACAAGACCGAAACAATGCAAGTTAGTAGAACCCCTGCCCCAGTACACATACAGCTGAATGGTTCTGCTCTGAATCAAGTTAGGGAGTATAAATATCTAGGAAGTATGATCACAGTAGATGGTAGAATTGACAGAGAAATAGAAAGCAAGTGCACTTATATACCATTTGTCACCATTATTAAGACATCCAAGCATAACTATGAGTGCAAAGAGACATATTATTAATTAATAGCATTTTTATTCCAACATTAAGCTACCAGTGCCAAACATGGACACTGTCTAAAGCACATTTACGCAAAATCACCACCTGCGAGATGAGATGCCTGAGAAAAGCAGCCAACCTAACCATCCGAGATCGAGTGAATAATGAAACTATCAGGCAAATTGTGGGAACGACACCTTGTACTAGATTCATCGAGAAACATCAGATCAAGTGGTTTGGCCATCTTGTTAGAATGCAGCAAGATCAAATACCATCACAAGCACTACATCTCAGAAGATCAACTACAGGAGCAAGAGGAGGGCCGCGGAAAACATGGATCGACAACATTAAAGACACTCTACGCCTTGACGGCATGACAATAGCCAGTGGCAGCCAACGTCCACTGGATCGCAAATTATTCCTCCCCACGACGCTTAACGGCATGAAGTGGTTTATGATGATGATGATGATGATTAGGTGACCCCTCTGAAAGGGTCGCTCGACCCCCATAGGAGTCGCAATCTACAAGTTAAGAACTGCTGATTTAGAGGTAATGGCAAACTACTGAACGTAAAATTGCCGAGTTGCTCTAGCAAGAGCCAACAAATGCTGGGTTCGGCAACGTCCAGTGAAACTACAGGATACGCAACTAACTTTGATAAAAAGTAAAGTCGGGAGATGTGAACCAGCGTCAGTGCACACGGTTATAAACCATATGCTCTGCCACCAGTACGGACAGCTGATAAGAATTGTTCGCCCGTGTCGCCGTTCGCACGTTACTCTGTAGCTACAGCGACGTTCCTCCTTTATTACCATTCTAGGTGCCAATTCTGGAGGTTTTCCTAGCTGAGAGGAGGTACTTCAAAGATCCGGACTCCTTACGGCTTTCTCCACACCGTGTCATATTTCTTCTACGTGAAGAGCCTCCCGTCATCTTGGTTGGCTGGATTTTACTTGCTTCTCTTTTTGACTTATCCATGGTTGTTTTTTTTATGTTTTAGTAATCGGAATCCTATATTAAAGTTTGAAGAAACAAATACTAACGTCTGGACTAGCCCACTGTGTGCTGTTACAGGTGTTCAGTCTCCCGGTCGACTCTGTAGTGGGAGATTTGTCGCGGAGGTTGAACAAGATAGAATATGGGGAGTATACTGGTGGCACTGGGTTCATTTTGCCATTGTCTGGACATTTCTCGAAGGATGGGTAGTCTCTCTGTGTGTAAGTGGAAAATAGTTTCAAAAAAGCTGACAACAAAAGAGAAGAACGAAATTAAGCAGGAAGTTATAGGTAAACATGGCAACATTTATAATTGAACTAGCCATTATCGTTATACGAATATCTGTAAAATGCTCGTGTATATATATATATATATATATATATATATATATATATATATATATATATATATATATATATAACAAGATATAGGCAAATATATAGTGATAGAGATACGTGTACAACAACAAGAGATAGACAAACAGCAGTGGGAGAGAGAGTGTACAACCAGGACAAGAGATAGACAAACAGATGAGAGAGAGTGTACAAACAGCAGTGACAAACAGAGAGAGAGTGTGTACAACCAGGACAAGAGATAGACAAACAGCAGTGAGAGAGAGTGTGTACAACCAGGACAAGAGATAGACAAACAGCAGTGAGAGAGTGTGTGTACAACCAGGACAAGAGATAGACAAACAGCAGTGAGAGAGAGAGTGTGTACAACCAGGACAAGAGATAGACAAACAGCAATGAGAGAGAGTGTACAAACAGGACAAGAGATAGACAAACAGCAGTGAGAGAGAGTGTGTACAAACAGGACAAGAGATAGACAAACAGCAATGAGAGAGAGTGTACAAACAGGACAAGAGATAGACAAACAGCAGTGGGAGAGAGACTGTACAACCAGGACAAGAGATAGACAAACAGCAGTGAGAGAGAGAGAGAGTGTGTACAACCAGGACAAGAGATAGACAAACAGCAATGAGAGAGAGTGTACAAACAGGACAAGAGATAGACAAACAGCAGTGGGAGAGAGACTGTACAACCAGGACAAGAGATAGACAAACAGCAGTGAGAGAGAGAGAGAGAGTGTGTACAACCAGGACAAGAGATAGACAAACAGCAGTGAGAGAGAGAGTGTGTACAACCAGGACAAGAGATAGACAAACAGCAGTGAGAGAGAGAGTGTGTACAACCAGGACAAGAGATAGACAAACAGCAGTGGGAGAGAGAGTGTACAACCAGGACAAGAGATAGACAAACAGCAGTGGGAGAGAGAGTGTGTACAACCAGGACAAGAGATAGACAAACAGCAGTGGGAGAGAGACTGTACAACCAGGACAAGAGATAGACAAACAGCAGTGTGAAAGAGTGTATAACTATGACAAGAGATAGACAAACACCTATCTGCTCTCTATCTCTGTTTCTCTCCCTGTTCTCTCTCTCTCTGCTCTCTCTCTTGCTTTTGCTGCTCTCTATCTCTCTCTGCTGCTCTCTCTCTCTGTTCTCTCCCTGTTCTCTCTCTCTGCTCTCTCTCTCTTGCTTTTGCTGCTCTCTATCTCTCTCGCTGCTCTCTGTCTTACTCTCTCTCTCTCTGTTCTCTCTCTGCTCTCTCTCTCTCTCTTGCTTTTGCTGCTCCCTCTCCCTCTCTCTGCTCTCTCTCTTACTCTCTCTTACTCTCTCTTTCTCTCTGTTCTCTTTCTGCTCTCTCTCTCTTGCTTTTGCTGCTCTCTCTATCTCTGCTCTCCCTCTCTCTACTCTCTCTCTTGCTTTTGCTGCTCTCACTCTCTCTCTGCTTTCTCTCTCTCTTGCTTTTGCTGCTCTCACTCTCTCTCTGCTCTCTTGCTTTTGTTGCTCTCTCAGTCTGCTCTCTCTCTGCTCTCTCTGCTCTCTTTCTGCTCTCTCTCTGCTCTCTCTCTCTCTCTCTGCTCTCTCTCTCTCTCTCTGCTCTCTCTCTTGATTTTGCTGCTCTTTCTCTGCTCTCTCTCTCTCTTTACTCTCTCTCTCTGTTCTCTCTCTGCTCTCTCTCTTGCTTTTGCTGCTCTCTCTCTGTTCTCTCTCTGCTCTCTCTCTCTCTCTCTCTCTCTCTCTCTGTGTGTGTCAGAGAAGCTTTCATCAAGGTCTACTGGCCTCCTGATAGGTTTTGTGGCAGTAGGGATTTATGTGGTATTGATTGTAGTAGTAGTAGTAGTGGCAGTAGTACTAGTAGAAGTAGTAGTAGTAGTAGTAGTAGTAGTAGTAGTAGTAGTAGTAGTAGTAGTAGTAGTAGTAGTAGTAGTAGTAGTAGTAGTTGTTGTTGTTGTTGTTGTTGTTGTTGTTGTTGTTATTGTTGTTGTAGTATAAATAGCAGCGTAGAAGAATAAAGAAGAAGAAGAAGAAGAAGAAAAGAAGAAGAAGAAGAAGAAGAAGAAGAAGAAGAAGAAGAAGAAGAAGAAGAAGAAGAAGAAGAAGAAGAAGAAAAAAAAAGAAGAAGAAGAAGAAAAGAAGAGACAGTAAAAAATAAGGCAGCACGTTGACGATCCAACTACCTGGTTGCAGATCACACAGAATATATTTGCGTACACATGCACTGATATCATCACTGCATGTTTGTAATTCCGGAATGTCGGCGAGACACATCCGGTCACCACATCTTCATCAGCCTCGCGCCATAGGCCTGTCACATTGCAGGTGTCAATTATTGGAGACCTGTGGAATGTAACAGTTCAAGGAGGTGTATGTTCAAATTAACACAATCAATCCCCATTTCTAGAGTGAGAGCTCTACACATTATTAGGCAGTTTGATTTTTAAAAATGGCTTGCTGTGTCAAAGTTTCTAATGGAAAACAATTTTTTTACTTGCTCGTTATTGTTTCTTTTTTTTTTTTTTTTTTTCTTTTTAAAATTTACCTTTACAGCTAAAGCCTGGAACCCTTTTAAGTTTCAACCTAAATAAGAGATTCATACCATCTACGGGGGTGCTTCTCATTGCTCCGTGTGTTATCCGTGAACCCATATTCTTAACCTCGTATAGGTTTCACAAGTTCGTTGTTCGAAGCTTCAGCACATTACTGAAATGTATTCCATAACAAGCCTACCTGCTCCTTTGTAGACTGTGCTTCGTGTTTTTGTACTGGCTCCCCAATATGATCTATTTAGATTTATTTTTCTCTCTACAGCGAGTCTCTGTATGCCTGATGATAAAATTTTCTTTTTATTTTGATTTTGGATTCGGGATGAGCTTGGTGTTTAGTGTTTACCCACCCCCAATCCATAACAAGTGGGTAGATTTAGATCTATGATATTTGTTGATTTTCTACTATAAATATTATTTTTTAGAGAAAATATGCTGTTCCAGCCAGTTTTGTTGTTTGTTTTCGTTTAAGACTGACAAGGATGAGCTTCCGCATAACAATGAGCGAGCGGACCAACTGGCAAGCACTGCACGTAGGATTGTGGAAAAAAAAAGCATACATAGAACAGATATCATCAAAGCTGTACGGACTGGTCTAGTGAATAATGAGGAATCTCTGACACTAACACGATTTCGTGACATAGGAGTAGAGCATGGTGAAGCACGTCTAGACTGTCTTTGAGGCAGAGATAGGAGACAATATAACCAGCTTCTTATGGGAACAATGAGCACGTATGGGAATGCACAATGTGCAATGACGTCGATAGTGATAACATAATATAACAGTAGTATTGTATCTGTTATCGTAGAATTTTGATAAGTGTAACCAAAACTGTCATCTTACTTTGTGCCATTGACTTCGCACGGAAAGGTACATAGGGGAGGAAATGCAGTCTGACAACAATTATGGCAGCTCAGATTCGGACGGCAGCTGGTCTATGGGGAAAGCTCCCACCAGTGCACAGACAGAACTCCGCTCTTCTTATTCGGTAGTTCCTGCAGCATGCTTAATTCCAAAACTTGTGACTTTTCCTTTTGAGTAAACTAAGGCCGAGGATGGGATCATGCTGCATAGGCAACATCTGGTCTCTACAATAATGTCTCGGGTTTGAGCCCTGTAGATGACGATTTTCATCTCCGGCCTCAAGTAATGAAAACAAAACTAGAGAATAACATATTTTTCAATGAGAAAAGCGAATCTGATTGGTCATAACGTAGTTTCCTTGTTTACTTTTGCGGCAGAACAGCAATAACTGCGATGGATTTTAATATGCTAGGCCACATTAATGAAGATACGAACAGTTTTTCAAAATGGTGTCTGTCTGTCTGTCTGTCTGTCTGTCTGTCTGTCTGTCTGTCTGTCTGTCTGTCTGTCTGTCTGTCTGTCTGTCTGTCTGTCTGTCTGTCTGTCTGTCTGTCTGTCTGTCTGTCTGTCTGTCTCTACAGCTGTCTTTTTTTTTCACTCACTGCTTCCCAGCTGCACTAAGACTGCTATCGCCACCTGGACCGTCACAGCGCCCCCCCCCTCTCCCCCATATTTGTTTGAGGCCGCTACTGTAACAACACCCCCTCCCCCTCTTGGGAAACACTGAGTCTGTGGATCCGAAGGTCGTGGGTTCAAATATGAATGGACCGGACTGTTTTCAAAAATGACCTAGGCTCCCAGGCCGACCAAGCCTTGAATGGGTACAAGGTAACAACATGAAAAGTAAAGTAGGCCGGATGCTGATTGGTCTATATAGTAAAGGTCTAGTGCCATGTTTTTTTTTTTAAATTTTACTACAAACTGCAACTGACTATTACTTACCCGAACCAATAACTATCACACATAACTAACTGCTGGTCGGAGGGAGACTGCTGCTTGATGGAGCAGCCGGACCTCGTGTCCAAGGCCAGTCTCAGGAACTCGTCCATGGACCTGGCTGTGTACACTTTCATAAAGGTTTCACAGGTCACCTTGACGTCCCACAGTTGAAGCTGAAAGTATATCATCAGGCTTACTTGTCATTATAACAGCAAGCTTTGGCAGTTATCACAGTGTTGGTAGGGGTGGTGGTAGTAACAGCAGGAGTTGCAGTAAAATAACATATTGCAATAAACAGACAATCGCCTGATTAAATAAGTTGCTATCTAAATTTTTATGGGTTATTTAACTAGCTGCCGCCGGTCGAATCCGGCCCACAGAGTTCTAGCAACTGGCCCGCCGATCATTGCCATTTGATTCTCCCGTGTGGGTTCCGGGGCCCCATTGTGGGGAAAACAAGAATAGACCCACTGCTCCCCAAAAGCATGTCGTAGGAGTCGACTAATTGGGGAGCTTCTTTTGAAGTCGGAGTGCATCTGCCGGAGAGGCAAGGAACCAAAAGTCTGTATTCAAGAGAATGAGATCTGTAAAACTGATGCACACGCAACACTCAGGTTCTGGAGCAGGACTGCAGTTCAGTAGTGGATGAGCAACCAGAACTTTCCGCCAGAGTGTACAGCTGGTGAACGCAAAGAAGAAGGAGATTGCCATTTAGATTGTAATAATTATCTTTCTTTGTTAACTTTGTGAAATAGTCTTGCTCTGCATTATACACGTGATATGTATAGTCTCTATTCGGATGTGTATATTCTTCTTTACGATGTGTGTATTCTATTTATGTTTATTCAACATCATAGCACAGGGGTAGTATAACCCACAAGTTGTCTTGTAGTCTTGTTTTCAGCTTCAAAACAAATGTGTCACCCCATCTTTGCTTTGCTCCTGTGGCAACAAAAAACATACAGAATGTTTATCACAGTCCTTGAGGAAAGATTGACGGACTGCTGTACCAACAAGTGCTACGTTCGACTTCTAACTCAAATCTGAGTCTGACGAATTTCAGCGGAGTGCACGAACTCCACTGCACCGGCGATGATCTTGAAATACTTTGGGTAGATTTTTAACTCTAAATTTTGCCTGGGCAGGCCGTTAGGCTACTTGTTTCGATTTCTAACTGCCAAGGTATTTTATGCGTGTCCAACAATACACACGAGCGTCCGGCCTTGTTACCCAGAGACCAGGAAATTATTAGGAGTCCGCATGAAATTATTCCAGCCTTCACCGGGGTCTGAACATGGGACCTCTTGCACTCGAGATGGGTGCCATACCTCAAGACCACTCAGCCCCCCCCCCCTTCCCCTCCCTCCGCCCAACCCTAATGTTTTTAAATAAAAACAAAAAGGCGCGCAAGAATCAGTGCCATAAGGCTGTTGAAGTTAAATGATAGACATGGGCCCTATATTTTGAGGCGCAGGCCAGTTGTGTCTGGTATAACAGGCTCTGGTACTGATCACAAAGTGTCTGTTCTTCATCATCATCACGTGTTGCGCCCCTAAGCTTAGGCTGTCGTGTTTCGCAATCTCACGTTAACCAGAATCACAGATCGGGTCAGTGTTGTCGCCTGCATTTATGTGGCCAAGCCATCCAGCTATTTATACGTTAACTTTTCTTTTGCTCTTTTTCGATCAATCTGCCCGGTTGCTTCCCAGTTCCAGAGTACATGCCTTATTGTATCATATCAGCAACACGTCTAAATATTCTAGCAAGATCGCGGCGTGAATGTATATTACTAGTGTTGAGCTTTGGCAGAGAACTAAACTAGTTCCAGAGGACCAAGAGGTAAAAAAAAACGACAACGGCGTTGGATAGGTCACACGGCGATAAAACCTGAGATCAACATAATCCACATGAGCATATAAATAAAGGCACCCTAACACACCCCGCCCCCTTTTTCCAACCCCTCACACGCACTCACACACACACACACACACACACACACACACACACACACACACACGTGGAGAAGATAGCTAGAGAAAAAAAAGATGGGGAGGACATGGGGTGAACTGCATGCAGCAGCGAAGGATAGAAAGACATGGAGTGATCTGCATGCAGCACAAGGGGACATGGGGTGAACTGCATGCAGCAGCGAAGGATAGAAAGACATGGAGTGATCTGCATGCAGCAGCGAAGGATAGAAAGACATGGAGTGATCTGCATGCAGCAGCGAAGGATAGAAAGACATGGGGTGAACTGCATGCAGCAGCGAAGGATAGAAAGACATGGGGTGAACTGCATGCAGCAGCGAAGGATAGAAAGACATGGGGTGAACTGCATGCAGCAGCGAAGGATAGAAAGACATGGGGTGAACTGCATGCAGCAGCGAAGGATAGACAGACATGGGGTGAACTGCATGCAGCAGTGAAGGATAGAAAGACATGGGGTGAACTGCATGCAGCAGCGAAGGATAGACAGACATGGGGTGAACTGCATGCAGCAGCGAAGGATAGACAGACATGGAGTGAACTGCATGCAGCAGCGAAGGATAGAAAGACATGGGGTGATCTGCATGCAGCAGCGAAGGATAGACAGACATGGGGTGATCTGCATGCAGCAGTGAAGGATAGAAAGACATGGGGTGAACTGCATGCAGCAGCGAAGGATAGAAAGACATGGGGTGAACTGCATGCAGCAGTGAAGGATAGAAAGACATGGAGTGATCTGCATGCAGCAGCGAAGGATAGAAGGGGTGAGATGCAGCAGTGAAGGATGAAAGACATGGGGTGAACTGCATGCAGCAGTGAAGGATAGAAAGACATGGGGTGAACTGCATGCAAGGATAGAAAGACATGGGGTGAACTGCATGCAGCAGCGAAGGATAGAAAGACATGGGGTGAACTGCATGCAGCAGCGAAGGATAGAAAGACATGGGGTGAACTGCATGCAGCAGCGAAGGATAGAAAGACATGGGGTGATCTGCATGCAGCAGCGAAGGATAGAAAGACATGGAGTGAACTGCATGCAGCAGCGAAGGATAGAAAGACATGGGGTGAACTGGCTGAGAGCGTATGCTCCACCGATGGACAGAAGGTAGAGGAAGAAAACAGCAGTAGTGAAAGAAGGCGCTACTGCCAACCGCTAGTTGTGTTGTATAGGAGACATTGTTATGTCTACTTCACAGTGGCTTGTTTGTGAGCAACTGGCTGTTCCTTGTCGCTCGGGTAGACTTCAAAGAAAGCCTCCAATGAGTCGACTCCTACAATATGCTTTTTTTAAAAAGTAGTGGGGTCTGTTCTTGTTTTCCCTACAATGGGGCCCCAAAATCCACACGGGGGAGCCCGTTACACAATAATAGGCGGTCATACACCCACTTTTCATTAGGGGGGCCGGGTGGGGGGGGGGGGGGGGGGTGGTCGGGGTGGGGGGGGGGTGGGGGGGGGGTACGGGGTTGGAAAGGGCAGAGAGGTTAACTGAAAGACCTAAGGCCTCACCCTCTCACACAATTATTTGCCAGTAAAATTTGCAAGATGGCGTAGACAAAGTCGGTTTTTTTTTTTCGGGGAAGAGGGCGGGGTTAAGGCCATATATTTATTCAATAATGGAGGGGAAGGGGTGTGTTGAAGGGTGTCAGAGCTCCACTCCCCCTCCCCCCCCCCCCCCACACACACACACACTGTGTTGTCTTGGTGATGGTGTTAAGGAGAATGTAGTGGTGGTGACTCCACCTTTCTAATATTTTATTTAATTAGGAAAAAGGGTTCAAAATCCTCCTCCCCACCCCCCCCCCCCCTTTCCAATCGACTGTATGTCTAACAATTTGTAATCGGAGAGGAGCGGCTAATTTGAGCCTCTAAAATGTTTTCTTTGTGATGGGGCAACCGCGACAGTGGACATAACGAAGTGAAGAACACAACGGGTTTGGGATTGAAAGACAGTCGAGATAAGAGTGACGTTACGTCAAGCACCTGCTAGATGATGATAGCCTGGCAGACGTCAACTACTTCTGGTCCTATTCTCTACAGTAGTCGACAGGTATCGCAATGGTCACAAACAGCCGCAAACAGATATCTAGTTGGTTTTTCTGACAGATGACTATACAAAAAAACAACATGGCACGGAGACAGGCTGGCAATTAATCAATAGCAGTCTGACAATGTCGAGTGATGGACAAGCAGCAGAGGTTTCAGTGACAACAGGCAGAGGCGTAGAACATCTGCATTTCTGAGGGTAGGCCTTTTAATGAAACATTCAGTTTGTGGTGGCTGATCTGAACATCAAGGAAGATTGGCTAATAAACAGCATCCTGTCTCGGAAGCTGAAATATTTTGATCACATCAAGCTGCACGACGGATTGGAAAAAAATTATAGCAGAAGGCATGGTACCAGGAAGGAGGGGCAGGGGCCGACCGACACGAAGATAGACACAGAATATATGTGACTCCTAGAGTATGAAAGTACATGAGGCGGGAGACCTGGCGAGAGACCGAGTTTCTTTCAGGCAGACCGTGATAAGAGCGACGTTCTGCAAAGGACTGTACATGATCCTGGTTACCTCTTTAAATTGCAGCATGTAGTGTTCGATTATTATGTTTTGCTTAGAATAGCGATTTACATAAGCGCTAAGTCCTCTTTTCAGCAGTGATCGCAGTTTTGCTTTCGATAGTGCCAGTAGAAGATTGATTGTATATCCGTCCTGGCTTCTCCCTGAGTGCTGAATGTCGACTAGCTCTCTCCCCGCTGCAACGTTTTCTTCAGATTTGTGCGTCTCAGCACTACCCACTCGCTGCCACGTGATCCTTACAATGTCTAGCTTGTCATCACGTGATCCTTACAATGTCTAGCTTGTCATCACGTGATCCTTACAATGTCTAGCTTGTCATGTGACAGTTTATCAACAAGTGTTAAAGAACCAATCAGTTTGCCAGCCTTGTTTATTTCCCAGCATTCCTCGATAACCTAGAGAACATATCACAAGAACTATAACTACAACTACCCAAGAGCCCTGAAGCGATGTCGCTCTGCAAGTAGCAAATCTTCTCCACTTTTTTTTAAAACATGTTATGTAAGTCAGTTACAAGCCAGTGGAAAGCTTCAGTGACCGCCTCCACCTCCACTCTCTAACTAGATATTGTGGTGTCATATGCCAGATAATGATGCAATAAACAGTGTCCCTTCATTTTTGCCATGTACAAAGTGCACCACTTCTTCAGATCGACTGGGCGAGAATTAACTAACTAAATTAGGAATAATGCCTACCCGCAAAATTCTTGCTCTTAAATTGTTTTCTTGTGTTGTGCTATAGACTTCTCTTGATGTTGAACCTTTGCATTGCTATAAACAGAGCCTTCTAAATTCTTTTGAGTTGGTAATAATAATAATAAATCATCAAAATTAAAACTCGATTTCTTTTGAAAAAAAAAATGACACACAGAATATACCAATTTTTATGACTAGAGATGGGAAAAAAAATTAATTTACAAAATATTTCTCTTGTCATTTTCTATCAAAAAAGGGACACACATTTGCGACACATACAGACCTGCTTCACGCCATTGCACTCTGCACAAAATTTGTTGTAGTAGACTGCGTTTGTTGAATTGTCCGTTACCAAGGTAAAGGAATCAAAACTGGTTTCGTTTTCCGGGATATTTGATTCACATTTTTGTATCACTTCATTAGAAGCCTGGACGTGCTGAAGACAAGATCTTATGTAAAGAACATTTAGATCTGCGTAGCATTCTAACTTAGGAAATGCTTTGCTATCTTGGAAACTCGCGGATTCGGACTCTTTTAGAGTATTGGAATTTACATTTTTGTTTTTATCATTCGCTTCTGTACTGGAAGAATTGTCCACCGCAACACTGTCAGGTGAACTCTTCGCATTGTCACCTGACTCATTTGTTTCGCTGACATGTGAGATTTTGTCAGTGTTTCTGGCACCAGGAGCTGTGTTGTTCGGCGAGGACAAATATGGCACTGAAATATCGGGACAACAGATACCGTAGATTTGGCATTCTGATTGTTTGCATGTACATTGAAAACAAATGACAGAAGAGCAGTAACCGCTGCGTTCTTTCAGTTCTACAACCTGCCCATTTTGACATCTATACGGGCAGTAACTCTCTTCAAACTGTCTAGAGGTGAATTTTCTTTTGTCCCAGAAATAGGTGTGTTTGTTAGGTACAAGGGCTTCTAGTGAGAAAATATATTCAGTATACAATACGGTTGTACTGTAGTCTGGCTGAGAATCGCCAGATAGTGAAGTCTCTTCCGAAATGTTTCTCGCCGAATCTGGAAAGTCTTTAGAGTACATCTCAGATGGTGGTGTGTTTGTGGCAGAGTCCGTTTCAACGACACCAATATACGAGGTCCCTGAATCCATAATATAAATGTCTGTTGTACTTTGTGAGCTTGAAGTTTCATTGTCTTTAGAATACCACGCACTGGCCTCTGATGAAGTGATCCCCCTGTGGGAAGTTCCTGCTACAGAATCCCAAACAACAGGAAATATTACAAGAACGTATATCAAAAACACACGCTTAAGTTGACGCAAACGTGTTGCCATATTAATTAATGTGTTTACCAATAGGTTGTGGTTGTTCAGTACACTGTACTGTAGATTAAACTTGCTTACATTCAATTTATACAGAAGCCAATTCTGATTCAGTTCTCAGAAGCAGGCGCTGTGCATTCAGATGAAAGACCAATCGTCGTATTTTAAATTCAGCTGCTTTGAATGATGTTTATGTGGTCTCAGTGGCGTTGCGCATAGTATTGTGAGGTGGGTTCAGGGACAAAATGTTACTACTCTTTAATGTCGTGAATGGTTTGACGGTCAGATCTCTAGCTCTATTTTCTCTTTCTCTTTCTCTCCATCTTTCTCCCCTTCTCTCAACCACTTCCTCTCCATCCACTTCTCTCTCTCTCTCTTCCCTCTCTCTTTGTCAGTCTCTTTCTATTTTTAACTAATTCCCACATTATTTGAGCATTATGTATGGGAGAAAAAACACATAGTGTGTGTTTAAATTTGCACTGAGATTAAACTCTTGTGGGATAAAAATTGTTTCACTTAACATGTTAATTTATGGAAGACACAAACGGTACAGTCTACTGGAAACTATCCACTGTGACTACCTCAACTGAAAACATCTATAAACAGTGACTAGGTCTATGGAAAATCGAAATATGACTACTTCTATAAAAAATCTTAATGTCACTGATTTAAAATTTAAATATCACTAATTCTATGGAAAACAGAAGTGTGACTACGTCTATAGAAAACTGAAATGCACCAAGCCTTTGGAAAACTGTAATTTCAACTACTCTTGCTGCAAGGTAGCAGTTGAAATCACACACGCGAGAACCCGTGGACTGTGATAACAGTTGTGACTAATTGTAAAATATAATTAAACCTGTTGGGGTTTAAAAAATGCCACTACACTTGTCGGGAAATGTAAACCTAATGAAGAATTGTAAACAAATCCAACTCGTCCAAAATGGTGATACGTTGTGATGTGGTACAACTTCGGGAAACTGTAAACTGCGATGATTCCTCTACACATGGAAACGTCTACAATGCAAAGAAAATGGGAAGGTAAAGCAACAACGATACATAAGCAAGAAAACTAGGAAAACAATCAGTGTGTGTATATATATATATATATATATATATATATATATATATATATATATATATATATATATATGTGTGTGTGTGTGTGTGTGTGTGTGTGTGTGTGTGTGTGTGTGTGTTTGTGTGTTTGTACATATATATGTCACTATGAAGTGAGTTTCGCTGCGCAGTTTTGTCAAGCCTGTGACTCAGTGTGCTTATCTACATGTATTTTATTTTATTTGTTATATTTGTCTTTTTAAATTGTTTCCCCCCTCCTCTGCCTGGCTTCAGTCTCCAGTGTATTTCTGGTCCCATGAGATAAAACAAAGAATAGACCTGCTGTTCTATAATCAGCATGTCTTAGGAAGCAGCTAATCAAGGATGTTTCCTTCGCTGTCTGATTCAGGTATACGAGGTATCGAGCAGGATGATACATTAGCTGGTGCCCCTCTTATGGGCGGTGAACTACTTTATGATAAAGCCTAAGTAGTGGAGGCTGTCTAGAATCTAATGAATAGTGCAATAAAACGGGTAAAGAATATCCAACCATCTCCTTGTGAGATGAAGTTTTTCATTAGGTTAAAGCCCCACCCTGGCTCTTGCCATGGGCCGCAATAAATATGGGTGCAGTGATGCCAATTTATAATTTATTCATGCATTCTTCCAAGTCGGAGTTGGTCTAGCTGTGAGGCCTAGAACAAACAGTGTGCATACAAACAGGTGAGATGTCTGAGAACAAACAGTGTGCATACAAACAGGCGAAATGTCTGAGAACAAACAGTGTGCATACAAACAGGCGAAATGTCTGAGAACAAACAGTGTGCATACAAACAGGCGAAATGTCTGAGAACAAACAGTGTGCATACAAACAGGCGAAATGTCTGAGAACAAACAGTGTGCATACAAACAGGCGAAATGTCTGAGAACAAACAGTGTGCATACAAACAGGCGAAATGTCTGAAAACAAACAGTGTGCATACAAACAGGCGAAATGTCTGAGAACAAACAGTGTGCATACAAACAGGCGAAATGTCTGAAAACAAACAGTGTGCATACAGACAGGCGAAATGTCTGAGAACAAACAGTGTGCATACAAACAGGCGAAATGTCTGAGAACAAACAGTGTGCTTACAAACAGGCGAGATGTTTGAGATCGATGTTCAGAACAAGACCAAAGTCTATAAGTGCACAAACAAGAATTGTCCGTCCGTAAATGCCAAGAAGATAAAGCAGATGATTACGATGACGATGATGATGGTGATGACGATGACGATAAAGAAAACGAAGAAGAAGAAGAAGAAGAAGAAGAAGAAGAAGAAGAAGAAGAAGAAGAAGAAGAAGAAGAAGAAGAAGAAGAAGAAGAAGAAGAAGAGAAGAAGAAGAAGAAGAAGAAGAAGAAGAAGAAGAAGAAGAAGAAGAAGAAGAAGAAGAAGAAGAAGAAGAAGAAGAAGAAGAAAAAGAAGAAGAAGAAGAAGAAGAAGAAGAAGAAGAAGAAGAAGAAGAAGAAGAAGAAGAAGAAGAAGAAGAAGAAGAAGAAGAAGAAGAAGAAGAAGAAGAAGAGAAAGAAGAAGAAGAAGAGGAAGAAGAAGAAAGAGAAGAAGAAGAAGAAGAAGAAGAAGAAGAAGAAGAAGAAGAAGAAGAAGAAGAGGAGAAAGAAAAAGACTGTCTCGAATTTACAGTTTACCAGGTATGTGTGCGTGTGTATGCATCTTTGTGTCGTTCCTACCTGCGCGTTGGAGGTATATAGGCTGACCGTCTTTTCATTGAACGAAGTTTTTTCGCCAGGGACACTAGATGACTATCATTTATTCTATACATTAGAGTCCTATGTAGTCACTTCACAGTTAGAGACTATTTGTGTATGTGTACTGTGTTGTCCTTTATGTGCTGATGAAGGCTAATCGCCGCAACGTCCTTTGTTTGTTTATTGTGATCGATTTTGTAAAGCTAACATAAACTAATTGTTGTTTCTTACCAACTTTTTCTCTTCCCTATAATTTTCTACTCCCTATAAAAACTTAGCTGGTTGTATCATGGGGAAAATATCTGTACCATGATGGCTAAGCGTTTTCACCTCAACAACGATCGATATTCAATACACACCTCTGTTGTTATTGTGTATACGCCTCTGGAAAAACAAAGAATGCAAGCCACACAAATACATTCGCCCCTTCAGAATCACTAATGCGGAAAGGATTGTAACAATCACCTACGCTAATGACTCCCCTTTACATCTACGACAGCCCTATAGAGAATCAACTCTCGCTTGAAATTACCCCGGAAAATAGACCTCTCATTGTTATATCCTTTAAATAATAAATCTAGGTCGGGAAAAGTAATGAGTCCAGAGTACCTTCAGTCGGTAACAGTAACATCACTGCGTATATCTACATTTTGTATTATGTCTAAGTGATGGTTTATTGAGTCTGATATAACGGTTCACGGCTTAAATTATATTGCTCTACAAATAATTCAAATGTTTGTTTTGAATAGTCAGTACTTTCACTCTTCACTTACAGACAGGAAGTCTGCAATCGATAGTCAATCTGCCAGAAAAATTGAATCGGGTTATCAATATTCATGGTTAGTTTTTATCTAAATTGGAAAGATAACATCAGAGAACACCTGCGAACAACACAATGTATTTAAGTCGAGGCGACAATGTCCTTAGCTTAGTTAGCTGCTATACAGTAGTAGTAGTAGTAGTAGTGGAAGTAGTACTAGTAGAAGTAGTAGTAGTAGTAGTAGTAGTAGTAGTAGTAGTAGTAGTAGTAGTAGTAGTAGTAGTAGTTGTTGTTGTTGTTGCGTTCTTTCTGCTTTTAATCGATGAATCAGCTGCCGTCTCCACAGTGAAGAGTGGCTGCAATGGATCTCCAATACGCGCTGTCTCTTTTCTTGGTTGTACACTCTCTCAGACTGCTGTTCTCTTGATGTTGTCCTCCCACTTGTATTGTTGCCCACCTTTTGCTCTCTTGCTTTCGACCTTTCTCTCCAGTATGGTTTTTAAAAGTGTGTTATGTCTTTTAATGTGGCAAAATTATTTCAGTTGTCTCTTTCTCTCTCTCTCTCTCTCTCTCTCTGTCTCTGTCTCTGTCTCTCTCTCTCTCTCTCTCTCTCTCTCTCTCTCTCTCTCTCTCTCTCTCTCTCTCTCTCTCTCTCTCTTCAGTAATACTAATCAGTAATACTTTTTATTATTAGCCTTTCCAGGACCTCTGTATTGGGCTGTCTTTGTCTCCATGAAATACGGGCCTATTCTTCTGTATACCCACATCTCCAGGGACTCAGTTCGATTTTCTAGTTGCTTGATCATTGTCCAAGTTTCTGCACCGTATAGCTGGATTGGGTTACATAACATTTGACAGTTCTCAATTTTAGTGTGTTGTTTATCTCTCTGTCTATCTTTCTAGCTGTCAGTAATTTGCGCATCTTATTGAAGACAAGTTTAGCCATTTCTATTCTTTTTTTTTTTCTTTTTTTTTTTCTCTTAATTTCTGTTTTGTGTCTACAATCATCTGTTTTGCATTATACATCTTCAATATTTTAGTCTCAGCGGAAATTGGTTCAAGTCCTTTGTAGAGTTATTGGATTTTTGTTTTCTTTGAGGGTAAAAGTGAATTCCTAAGCTGCACATTTAGCAGCGATCTATCCAAAACCCAAAACCGTTTTCAGAACTTTTAGCAAAGTAAATTATTCACAATTTTAAAACTTAAAGTGGTGGTCCAAAGGACGTTATTTTGGATGTGAAAATCTCGCTCTCCTAAGAGATACACCTGGCAAAATTGACGGGGCAAGAAAATAAAATAGGAAACACCAAGAAGGAAAGGACATGAGGAACTCACAGAAATAAATCGAGCGGTCTAACTTGGAAAGAAAAAGGACAAGCCCGGAGACGGCGCAATGATCATAACTTTAGCCCCGAAAGTGGTGCAAATAAACCAGACCACAAATAT